ATAGGTCTGCTTTACTGGAAGCAAATTGCACAGCTTCTAGGTCTTGCACAGCTCGGCCTTGAACTCCTGCTGCTTGTACGCCTTGTGTGTGCTTATCCGTGTAGCTGCTGTGTGGCAGACAGTTACTTTGTATATAAATTCTGTTGGTATATAATTGTCTTCTCCAGCTATACTGGTAGCTTTCTGTGCTGGTTTTTTTTTTTTTTTTGTGATAAACAAATATGATATAAAATCTACCCTCCTAACAAATTTTCAAGTGTACCCTATGGTGTGGTTAACTGTATGTTGTACAGAAGATCTTTACAACAGCTCCCCATTTCCACCCCCATGCCCTTGGCAACCATCCACTTTCTTTGCTGTTTCTATGCACTCCTGGGATCCTCAGATACGTAAGTGGAGTTCTGCATTCCTGGTTTCCTGTCATTGGCTCATTTCCCTTCATCTCCTGTCCTCCTGGTTCATTTACACCATAGCATACTACAGGTTTACCTTCTTTTTTTTTTTGGCTGGGGCTGGGTTTGAACTCACCACCCCCACCATATGGGGCTGACACCCTGCTCCTTGAGCCACAGATGCCGCCCCTGGATTACCTTCTTTTTAAGGCTAAATAGTATTTCATTGTTTGTATGTACCAAATTTTCTTGATATACTTACCCTGATGTATACTTAGGTCGTTTCCACTTCTTGGTTACTGTGAACAATGCTGTAACGAGTGGCTGGCATTTCTTACGCTTACACTAGGCAGTGCATTTGTGGATATCCGTGCAGCAAAATTCTAGAAAAATACCATGTGGCTTAAAGTATTATGTTAATATCAGAGGAACTTCTAACTGGCTATATATTTCCACTTTGTGTTGTAACAAAAAGTTTTCAACATATATACAAAATGAAAAGTAACATAAGGAGTACCCCAAACTGCCACAGAGGTCCTGCAGTTAACCTTTTGCTGTGTTTGTTTTCTCTATGAATCTTTTTTCCCTGAACCATTAAACGCGTGACACTTGCAGTCTGCACCTTATAAAAATAAGGACCTTCTCTTATATAATCATGATACCATTAACACATTAAAGAATTCTTTTTTTTTCAGCGGTGCCCGTAGCTTAGTTGGCAGGGCACCGGCCACATACACCAGAGCTGGCAGGTTCGAACCCGGCCCAGGTCTGCTAAGCAACAATGACAACTGCAACCAAAAAATAGCCTGGCATTGTGGCGGGCGCCTGTTGTCCCCACTACAGGTAGAGGCAAGAGAATTGCTTAAGCCCAAGAGTTGAGGTCACTGTGAGCTGTGATGCCGCGGCCCTCTACCCAGGGTGACAGCTTGAGACTCTGTCTAAAAAAAAAAAAGAATTCTTTTTTTAAGACACAGGTTTGCCTCTGTCAAGGCTGTAACAAGAAGTATCCACCCCTGGTTTGTCCTCACCTCTACTGTGGTTTTCTCTTCTCATTGCCTAGTTCCTTATTCTTTTCAATACTATCAACAAGTTTATTTTTCAAGGAATTTATTTGTTACACTTGGCACTTTAAGTTAAAGAAAGCCTGTACGTTACGTCAGATGCTTGTACTGAGGCTGTGAACTGGAGTGAAGCAAGCTCAGATATGGTCCTCAGCTACTAGAGATTCAAATCAGCAGTTTATCTTATTTATTCATTTTCTTTTTAAGGAATTGCAGAACCACCAAAAACATCGTCTATCTTCCTAACTGGAGTGGTGGAAACAGAAACTAATTTGGATGGTGAAGATAAGGAAGTAGAAGAAACCCTGGATAATCTCAAAAATGACAGCGTACAGGCCGTAGACAAATTGGGTAGGCACCAAGCATCACTCTGCAGTAATTCTTCATCGTTAACATAATGTGAGGCATTTTAGGTTTGTAAAATCAAGTATTCTGGGCCAGGCGCCTATAGCTCAACCAGCTAAGGCGCCAGCCAGATACACCTAAGGTGGTGGGTTCGAATCCCCAGCCCGGACCCGCCAAACAACAATGACGGCTGCAACCAAAATATGGCCGGGCGTTGTGGCGGGCGCCTGTGGTCCCAGCTACTTGGGAGGCTGAGGCAGGAGACTCGCTTGAGCCCAGGGGTTGGAGGTTGCTGTGAGCTGTAATGCCACGGCACTCTGCCCAGGGGGACAGCTTGAGGCTCTGTCTCTCAAAAAAAAAAACAAACAAAAAAAAAATCAAGTATTCTGGGCCAGGCGCAGTGGCTCACACCTGTTTTGGGGAAGATGAGTTACATCTTAGGTTTCTGGCCTGAAGGCCACAGGTGGCTGTTGCCGTGAGTGCTTGATTCAGAGGCACTGTTGTTCTTAGTTGCTGAATGAGGAGCCTCTGAGGTGTTCTACAGGTGAGGACTTTGTTTTTGTTTTTGTTTTTGTTTTTTAGATAGAGTCCCACTTCGTCACTCTAGGTAGAGTGCCGTGGTGTCACAGCTCACAGCAACCTCAAATTCTTGGGCTTAGGTGATCCTTCTGCCTAAAAAGCTGGGACTACAGGTGTCCGCCACAATGCCCAGCTGGTTTTTGTATTTTGCATAGAGAGACGGAGCCTTGCTCCCTGCTCAGGCTGGTCTCAAACTCCTGAGAATCACTTAAGCCCAAGAATTTGAGGTTGCTGTGAGCTGTGACGCCCCGGCACTCTACCCAAGGGGACATAGTGAGACTCTTTCTCAAAAAAAAAAAGGAAAAGAAATTAACTATGTATATACATTTTTATATGTATATAAATTTATACATAGAAATATATGTATATATTATTCTTCAGTTTTCGTTTGAATTAATTTATGACTTTGTTCTTTAACTTTGAACTTTGAAATCTCAGTGGTTATAGTAGACTCTATTCTGCAAGCCTTGAGTCTTACACAGTCCCCGGCTCAGAAGTGCTAAAGAAAGCCTTGCCCACTAGATGGAACTCCCTGGAGGGCTTAACACTGTCCATGTTCCAGAGAAGTTTTGGCTTTTGACTTTGTCTTGTCTTAGCCTGTAGGAAAGAGTTAAGCCCTTGTTTGAGTTAACATATTTCCCCTGATTTGGAAGTTCACCTTGTTCTTTGCACTATTCTTTGTTATTTTAATTCAACTGATTTTTAGTGAATTATCAGGTGAAAACCGAATACATTTTGAAGTTGAAAATACTGTAGTTTTAGGCTGGGCGTGGTGGCTCGTGCCTGCAATCCTAGCACTCTGGGAGGTCCAGGTGGGTGGATCGCCTGAGTTTAGGAGTTCCAGACCGATCTGAGCAAGAGTAAGACCCCATCTCTACTGAAAAAGAAGAAAAGAGCTGAGTGTGGTGGTGGGTGAGGTGGTGGGAACCTGTAGTCCCAGCTACTCAGGAGGCTGAGGCAGGAGGATCATTTGAGCCCAAGCATCTGAGGTTGCTATGAGCTGTGATATCACAGTACTCTAGAGCAGGAGTCCTCAAACTTTTTGAACAGGGGGCCAGTTCACTGTCCCTCAGACCGTTGGAGCGCCGGACTGTGGGCCCCGGGATGAGTGGCCTGCTAAGCAGGACAGGCAGCGGCAGCAGAAGCACCCAGCGGGCCAGATAAATGTCCTAGGCGGGCTGCATGTGGCCCATGGGCCGTAATTTAAGGATGCTTGCTCTAGAGTGAGACTCTGCTTAAGGAAAAAAGTATACTGTAGTTTTAGAATTCTTTTATTTTGAGACAAGGTCTCACCCTGTTGTACAAGCTAGAGGGCAGTGGCATCATCCTAGCTCACAGCAACCTCAAACTCCTGGGCTCAAGCCAGACTCCCACCTCGGCTTCCTGAGCACCAAGGACCTCAGATGCACACCACCACATTGGCTACTTTTTTTTCTTTTTTGAGATGGGGTCTTGCTATATTGCCCAGGCTGGTCTCGAACTGTTGGCCTGGAGCAAACCTTCTACCATGGCCTCCCTGCTGGGATTACAGACGTGCCCAGGCTAGAAATATTTTATCTGTGCTTTTTGGATCAACTTCACTGCATTGTTTTAAAAGCAGAGTCTTCCAACTGCTGTGAAGTTCACTCTCTGTTTTGCCTTTGGAATAATTGTTTCAGATCATCGTGTTGTTTGTATTTCTAATTATTTTTTGTAGCCTAAAATTTATGGAGCTGCTGAAGGTAAAATTAATGTTTTTCCTCTAGAACTTAGGCCTTTATGTTGTGTTTTAAGAACTCAAGACTGTCTGTGTTTTCATTGTACAACTGACAAGTGTAGTTAAATAGATTGTGGGTGGAGTGTCAACATTGGTTTATACCTGTGTAAACTGTCATCTGAGTACCATGTTTTTAAGCTTTGAATTCGACTAACGCGTTGCAAATTTTGTTCAGATTCTTTATCAGATAAGAAGTTGCTACCTGGGAGAAAGTTAACTGGCAGGATGTTAGAACTCTTAATGTATTTTCTTAAGGGAATATCAACGGGAATGGACGTGAAGGTGCAGAGCCCAAATGAGCTAATGTTTTCTGTTTTAATAGGACTTGTGTTAGTTATCCCCCAAGTGTAACCTAGCAGATCAGTTACTATAGTCATTTCACGGATGCTCTAGTAATTTACGTTCCTGAGTGGTCATCAGTCCTAGTCTCTGATTTCTGAGGTCAGCCTCTCCCAGTTAATGGTTCCTATCGTGTTATTAAGCCTTATATGCTGAAGAGTGAAAGAGCTGATCCTGCAAGTTACGTCTGATTCCAGGCAGATGGTTATGTCAGTTGTGAGAAGTGTTCTGTGACTTTTTTAATCTTAAAACAAAATTGAGAGGTTTTTTTTAAGTTAAAAAGAGAGGAAGTTTGTTCGTTTTCTGGTCCTTCTGCGGAGATGGGTTGTAATCCCAGTTTTAGTTCTTTGATCTGTGTTGAGGTGCCAAGTTCACGTAGAGGACGCTGACGGTCTGTCTTACGCTTTGAAACTGTCTATTCAACAAAGGCAGTTTTATTCCCAAGAAAGGAAGATACGAATATCCTAATAACAGATTAGCAAGACAGATTGGTGTATGAACCAAAGTTTCTATTCTGTTAATGCTCCTGGAGTTCTTGTTGAATTCAATCAGACACACCTTTACGGCTGCCCACGTCAAGAAGTCTCATTATGCTGTGTTGTGAGATGCCTTGTCAGTGGGAAAGATACCACGAGAAGTTTTTACTTTTCCACTGGCAGGCAGGAATGGTACTACTTCGAAATGACTAACATTTAAATTAAATCCTCATTGCCCTAACATGTTATAAGGCAAAGCCAGGTGTACTTGACTTGTAAACT